CGCAGGCAAGAGCAAGGCAGAGCATACCAACTTGTCCCACTTCAAACCACAAGGCGTATCTTTCACTAACTAAACAGTGATCCCAGCAGGAGTGACAATGAATGCTTTCTTCCCTATTCCTGTTTGAAACAATCACTGGCTATTTCTTCATATTAATTACTTTATATCTAGTATTAGGCAGCCTTGATTAGGCAAAATATGGTCTTTGTTACCAAGTGAATAGAGGAACAAACAAAACCAACAGCTTAAAAAATTGTGTGTTTTTTGTTTGTTTTAGAAAAAGATCGTCAGGCTTTCACACTTAAATGTGAGTTTATCTTTACAGAGATCCCTGGATTCACTCAGAAGAAGGTAAATTCTCCTGCCAGACAGCACCACGCTGAGCTGATTGAATGAATAGCTTATTAGACTTTGCCTAAGGAGATGCTGGACTTAAATAATTTCTGCGTCTCTGAACCTGTGAAAAGTTAGTAATAGTAGAGAAGATACTAGCCCTGCTTTGCAGCAAGGGCAAGTTAGCCTTGGACTACAATCTGACTGAATAAATCACATGTGACAAGCTGGTGTAACATCAGGAGGTTCCTCTGGAACCTGGGAGTGATCCGATGATCAACTCTCTCTAGAAGCATAAATTTCCTCTCCCTTTGTTCTAGCGTGCCAGCTTTCAGCTCACTCTGTATTTGGGCTATTAGTTCCCCAACTACCAGAAGTCACCTTCATTCTCACATAGAGATATTAATGGAACTCAACTACTGCAACTGACAACAGTGCACAAACTTGCTCAACATAACTGTCAAAACTCAAGACTCCCAAGCGTGAGTAATCTCTAAGTTTACTACACAGGCTTCTCTTTGACCAAGGTTCAATAACATAGGTCATGAGGCCCTCTTGAGCTTCTCTTATGATTGTCCTGCAATAGTTTTTGCATTTGCCAAATTCTTTAGCATAAATATTCTATGTGACCAATTTCAAGCTAACAGCTTGAAAGTCAGATGACTCACAAAATGCCTGAAACTTTAGTCCTTGTGAACCAAAGTTAGCTCTGCAGACATCACTGTCTACAATCCTTGCCACACCGCAACCACCATGAACTCAATCCTCAACACTGCGTTCTCTCTCCCTTTGTGACACCTGTCATTCACTAAAGCTCTTCCCTTGTTGTTCCCTAAGTAACTCGCATTCATTCGTCAGCTCCCAGCCTCGTGCTGTTCCTTCAGGAACCTTTCCTGATGCTCCAGGTTTTTTCTGGGCGTTCCAGCTTTCCTGCTACAACACCCATCTATCCTACATCACAGGATCTGCGACACAGCATTACAACTGCACGCTTCCTTTTCTATCTCCCATCCACTTCTCAATTCTGCCAAGGAAAAAGCCTTAGCTGTCTTATTTATTCTGGTTTCCTGGGGCTGGCTAGAGTACTTGCTGAATATGGATGGGCAGCCACTAACCTAAGTTTTCCTTTTTTTTTTTTCTTTAAGATTTATTCCTTCAAAAGTCAAAGTTATAGAGACAAGTAGAGTATGAGAAACAGTGAATCTTTCATTTTGCTGATGTACTCCCCAGATAGCCATAATGGCTTAGGACAGACCCAAAGTAGGAATCAGTAATAGAAGCCCAGCTACCTGAGCCATCTTTTTGTTTTTTGAATGATCGCTAACAGGGAATTGGATCAGACATGGAGCAGCCTGGAATCAAACTAACACTCATATTAGCTATAAGCCTAGCAGGAAGCAGTCTGATCCACTATACCACAATGCTAACGTAAACTAATGTAAAGTTTTACATGTGTCATCTCATTTTATCTTTAAAACAAGACTAGGAGGTTGCTTTCAATATTCCACTGCTCATTTTGCAGATGAGGACCCAGAAGCCCTGAGAAGTGAATACCTCCCCATTAGCCCACTTAGTAAATGTTGCAGCCAAGATTTCAAGTCAGGCAGTGTGACTACATGGCCCATGCACATGCATCTTGCACTAATGTTTGACTTTTTTCCCATATGCTTTTCAAGGAGAAAATTTTTAATTAAATTTAAATTCACCCTAATGAAAAGAATGATATATCAAAAGATTTTTTTTTTGATATGGTTAAGCTTTGGAGGGATTTTTTTTCATTTTCCTATATCCAACTCTGGCCCTCTTGCAGGTACTATTATTCCATTAAGCCTGTGTACTATAGATTGTTCACTAGGCATTTTCATTAATGTACCGTATGTCTGTCTCTAAAAACACATGGTCTTTCTTTGCAGTTAACACTATCTTCCTGTAAGTATTATTCCCCATTCTGCTTTGCTGTGTATCCATAGGATACTTCGGAGCATTAGAGTTGTGTTGATACCCTCACTGTTTAACTACTGCCGGGTATTTCAATTAAATCCACATGCCTGAATGTACATGTTTTCCATTGTTGAATATTCAAAAAGTTTTGTGTAAATATATTTACACATCCCCTTTAGGGCAATTGTTTGAGTGATTTTCTAAAGCAGATACCAAGACAGAAGCAGAGAAGGTAGGAAGGTACATAATTGTCATGAATATTACCAAAGCACCCCTAAAAGACTCACAAGAGTACACATTTCTCCCAATGTTTCTAGTCAGCATGACCTCTTACTACTTTGGGTGGTGTTAAACATTTTAATGAGATGCATCATGCGAAAGTATTCCCATTACTCACCAGCTGAAAGTAATGTGTATAACAAAGAAGGTTACAAGATAAGATGATACTATTGGACGTGAGGGTAAGCGGCAGCAGTGACGCTGAGATGCTAAAATGCCATGCACACAAAATCTGCCCTGGGGCCTAACTCACTTCATTGAGGAATTTAGATAGTTGGTACTTTAACTCAGTCAGTATATGGAAATAGTTATAGCGACTTTCAAGTGGTGACCTCAGGTATTAGACATGAAATCTCTTTGTTTTTGTTTCTCTGGAACACAAATTTAAAAAAGAAGAAGCAAAAGCCAAGAACAACAGCAATAAAAAATATTGAGACTGAGGGAACTAAACAACCAAAGTAATGAGGTGTCAAAAAGGGAATGATTCCTTTGCTAAAAGAGAAACAGACAGGATAGAGATAATACCAAACATGTTGGCAAAGAAGACCAGGAAAATTAATGAACCACAAGAATGTTATCTGTATGATAGAACACCCTTGTCTTTCTACAGGACAAAGTACTCACGTACAGCAAAGGGAGCAAAAATACTCCTTTGTGGAGCAGGTATTGTGCTGTAACAAGTGTGCAGCCTCTGAAATCTGAGTGCTGGTTCAAGTTCCAACTCTTCCACTTTTGACCCACTTCCAGATTTGCATCCAGGAGGATTAGCTCAAGAGTCTGGGTCCCTGTCACCTATGTAAGATACCCAGATGGAGACCTGGGCCCCTAGGTTTGGCCTGGCCCATTCCTGACTGTTGTAAATATTGGGGAGTGAATCAATAGATAGAAGACCTCTTTCCCGCTCTCTCAAGTGGATGAAAATAAATATAAATTTTAAATATCTCTTTGTCCCTCTTTCTTCCCTGCTTCTCTCACAAACAATATCTGAAACATATACTAAATTTTTATTACCTAGAAAACTAAACAAAATGTGGTTCACTGTCCTATACCATTAAGACTCTATCATTAGTGATTACCACATTTTCTCAAAGGTATAGGACTTCAAAAAAAGTAAGTAAAATGCATATTCCATTTTTTAAATATGCAAGTTGTTTTTTTTGGGGGGGGCGGTGTACCAAAGTAAGTCTCTCTCTCTTATTTCTTTGAAAAACAGACTGATAGCAAGAGAGGCAGAGATGGAGAAAGATCTTCTACCTGCTAGTCCATTCCCCAAATGGCCACAACATTCAGGCTCAAGCCACATCAAAGCCAGGAGTCTGGAATTCCTTCTGGGTCTCCCACATGAATGGCAGAATATTTGAGCCGTCTCCTACTGTTTTACCAGGTTCATGAGCGGGGATCTGGATCAGACACAGAGACAGAACTTGACCTAGTGCTTGGATTTGGAAGGACTGCACTGCAGGTGTCGGGTAAATTCACTGCAACACAACGATGGCTCCAGTGAGCTTCTCTTTTGATTTCATTTTTTCACAGGCTTTTTTGAGTACCTTATTACTTGTTTCGTTAACACTGGCCTAAAAATGGTTGTCATGGTTGACAGGTCACTTTCGAGATAGAGTGAACATAAAGGAAGAACAAATGGAGGTTATTCTTGTTGAAGTCCCACTGTATGCTTTCTTCATATTCCACCAGTTCCTCTATGGACTACCATGTGAGGTGGGCTCACAGGAAACTGACACCGACAGAGGTTACTGGTGTTGAGTAGGCTCTTTATCCAATCCTCAGAGCAGCATGGGTGTGAACTGCAGTTTTATGACGTTGAAGTCTGCTGACCCACTAGACCAATCTACCTTGCCAAAATCACAAGAGTCCAGGGAATACTCAAATGCGTCAGGTTGTAAAAGAAACTGAACACAGACAATGTTCCTGCCACATTACTGCTCTTCCCTAAATAGAAGATTTATCTCATAGAACTACTATTCAGAAGTTTCTGGAATCACATTTGTTGTCCAAGTTTCTAGAACAGGTCAAAGCAAAATAATGATTACAGAAAGAGGACAAGTTCAGAAAAATTTCTAGAAGATTATATTCATTCTGAGCATTTCATTAAATCCAAAAAAGTAAAGAGGGAAAACAACAGGATTTACTTGTGATTTATCTTGACTTGGAGCTGGATGCCTATGGTCACAGCCAAGAATCCTAAGGTCTGAAAACCCATGCTGCCAGCGAACAGAGGCCAGCTCACTAAAATCTATTGTTCATTGTTCCAGCTGCTTTCTGAACTAAATGGCACCTCACTCACAAAAGCACTATTATGTAAATACCCACCCAGAAGATAATGAGAAAGTTACACATGATTCCTAGGGTCAAACACACTTGCTTTCTGAAACTCAACTTAAATACCTGGCAGAAGTATAATTAGCCCAAACCTATGTTTGAATCCTTACCTGGGGCTGTGAAAATACAGGGGTGGAAGTAGAAGCGGCAGCCATGACAGCTCCGTAGTGGGCAAGAAGCGGCCCCAACACTCCAGTACCAGATGCAGATGTCAAATCCTCGTGCTTTCTTATCACACTGCACTCATGCTACGAAGGACTGTGTACCTGGAAAGAATAGGAAAGCCCATGTTTAGCACAGCTGGTTAGTACATGTGAGTAAAGAATCAAAGGCTAGAGAAAGCAAAATCTCTTCTACTAAGAGCCAAATACTAGTTTAATGAAAACAGGAACCCAGAAGGGAAGATGTAACATTTAAATGCCATGACCTAATGTTTTATGTGGATGTGGTTTTACAAGTTTGCGTACAGCTCTAAGTGCCTTCAGTCAGCAGCAAAGGAGCTGATTGACCTAACTTTTGAGAATTAACATTTTACATGCCACGGGTAGACAGAAGATCATCATCAAGCGCCAAGAGAAAATCCTGTTCAAGTCTAACCATTTTCAAAAAGGAAAACTGAGAGTAGGATGCAAGAAAGGACCAGAATCACACATTAGTTAATGGTAGAATCTGGACTAGAACAATAGCCCTGATTCCTAGCTCAGCATGAAACCATAAATGAATTCAAGGCAGGTTAATGTTTGCTCAAGGAACTTAACTACCAATTTCAAGATTAAAGTAAGGCAAGACATCCCCATGTGATCAAACTCAGTTCCAAGAATGAATCAGTACTCAGGCAGCAGGTGGAAGGGGAGCTTTGGAAATCTGACCTTAGCAGGTGTAATGAGAAATACATTTTGACTGTACTTTGAAGTTCTCAAGATGCTAAATGAGCACAAAATATAACCAAATCTTTTCTTATTAAAATGCCCATTAAAAAACTCAAGAGTCGAGCGCTGTGGCATAGCACATAAAACCACCCCTAAGCCCTGATCTCCAATTTGGGTGCTAGTTTATGTTCTGATTGCTCCATTTCCAATCTGACTTTTCCTGATGTCTGAGGAAAAAGCAACAGAAAATGGCTCAGGTGTTTGGGCACCTGCTACCCATGTGGGAGACCACAAGCTCTTGGCACCTGGCTTCAATTTGTCTACTCCTAGCCATTGCAGTTATCTGAGCAATGAAAAAATCTTCCCCCCTCTCTCTCCTTCTTTAGATAACTCTGATTTTCAAATAAACAAATTTGACAAATGAAGCAAGTGAGCCTCATAAAGATGCTCTGCTCCAGCATCACAGCATGGCCACTTTTGTCAGAAGTCAGATGTCATCATTCCCTTACTGCAATTTAATCCAGAAGGCAGAATATTTTTACTTTGAAAAATTAAAAAATGTCTTTCAAGAAAAACTTTCATTTTAGGTAGTTTTCAGTGTTATTTTTAATTCTAAAGACATTTGCTGACATGTGCTGAGTATCTATAGCAGGGTGGTAAACTCGTGGACCACGGACTAAATAACGCCTACAAAATCATTGGTTCTTTCCATGCCATAGCAACTGAGTGCGGGGATTGGAAATTCAGTAACTCTACAGCAGGCTAATTTTTATGTTGATCATTTCATGTAACCCATGAATGATGTTATTCAAATGTCAAATATTCAAATGGCCCCTGGAAGACATAAGGGTCCCTACTCCTGGATAGGGAACCAGGGGCATAAGGAAGAAAACTGAGTCACTCTGTGCTTAGGATGCATTGGTCTGTAACATACTTGCTAGTTTCACCAACATGCAAGATGACACCTTGTACTTATAAACTTTTGGAAAATCAGGCTTTCCATTATGGCAAGAGTAATGAGCCAGAGATCACAAGATCCAAGTCTTCCGTGGTATGGAGAGCAGAGTTGATAATTCAATCCGAGTTCTTTCACACAAAATACTTTGGCATTGCTCTATATTAGGTCAGTGATGCTGGGCAAGACACCAGCTCAGAAGGGTGCTGATTTTTCATTTTTCATTTTTTATTATACAGTTCCATAAGCTCAGGGATTTCCCCCTCTAACCCTTCCCATGCTCCTTCCCTTACCACTGATTTCCTCTTTATTATAAAATACTGTAATTCAACAGCAGTCACAAGCCCATCCTTCTGCTATTTCAGTGTATTCACTTCTTGATCTGAGAGTCTCCATTATACAGTTCCTCCAGATGAATGCCTGCAACACGTTTGCCTATGTGTATCTATTGATTTTGTATTTTGCATGATTTTTAAGGAAAAGATCTAGATTTGGCATCAACTTTTTTAAGAACTTTAAATTTTAAATTCTACACTGTATTATCTTTCAAATGAGGATTTCAATCACTGTTTTAATTGTGTAGAACCGTGGAACTCTCCCATGTTCTTCCCTACTATCAGAGTGATTATGTTTATTATCATCCAAGTGGTAAGTCTCAAGAATCACATAGCTTCCCTGAGACCCTCCTGATAATCTCCTTAGACTCAGTTTTCACTGGATAAAAAGAACTGCTCTTTACCACACTGCTGGAGGCCAGCTCCAGCTGAGTTCAGAACTTGAGAAGGATATGTGGAATAGGCATAGAGAAAAGAAACAGACCACTACAATTTCAGGATCGTAATAGACAATGCAAGAAAGCAGTCCCCTTTGTTGATACAGAAGCAGTCACAAGCTCTGGCACAGACTTTTTACGTCATGGTCAGGTGGGTGTTTCCAAGGATAATTCTGCCGCTTGTTTCACCTTAAAGCTCTCAATAGAAGTTCTCAATAGACAGTGCATATCAATCAGTAACATATTTCTACTACAATCCTCATTCTACAACTTAATCTTGAATCACTTAAGGGAAGAAATGAGTCACAAAAAAGGGGGGAACTAAAGATCAAGGATGGCCAAATGGGGGCGGCAGACACAGAGGCAGCATGAATTGTAAAAGGTCCTTTTGCAAGATGTTATCAGCAACATCAACTTCCAAGCTCACCCTGATTGTAAAGACCAACTCCGCAGTGGCAGACAATGGCTAAACAGGGTATAGAATTCTCAGTGGTCTGAGAATGCAAACAGAGGTGGAAATGCCTTCAGGTGGATGCAGAGACATCCACCCAGCCTTGCCATGCAGCGGGAAATTCCTTGCAGCCTTGCCTGCAATGGAACAATTCTCTTCACACCTTCGTGTCCTCCACACCCACTGCATGGACCCCAGCACCACACTGTGGGTTAAAATCAACATCTCAGAAGATAGGTACATGTGCATAAGAATGTCTTTCCTTTTTTATAATCATTAGTAGAGTGCTAGGAAAAGCATAGGATTCCTCACTGCACTTTTCTTCCTGAATTTATTCTTGGCATTATTTTGTACCCATTCCTGTCTTTGCTTCTCCTTTTTAAATTTACAGTTCACATTTTCTTGCTCTCACCTATGATGAGGACATTGAATAGATAGCATGAGAACCAAAGCACAATAAAACAGGCAAGCAAAATTCCATTCTTAAAGATGCAAACTATATGCTAGAGATCTATTCATTTTCATCAAGTCATTAAGCAAGATGGCCCTAAAAGATTTTCAGTATTCAAAATGCAGTTGCTTAACAAGTAGTCATGGGCCTGTAGCAAAGAAACAAATCTAAAGGGCCCGGTACAAAAGCTTAGTGGCTAAATCTTCACCTTCCATGCACCAGGATCCCATATGGACACCGGTTTGTATCCCAACTGCTCCACTTCCCATCTAGCTCCCTGCTTGTGGCCTGGGAAAGAAGTCAAGGATGACCCAAAAACTTTGGACCCTGCAACTGCATAGCAGACCCGTAAGAAGCTCCAGGCTCCAGGCTGTTGGCTTCAAACAGGCTCATCTCCAGCCACTGCAGCCACTTTGGAAGTGAACCAGCAGACAGAAGATCTGTCTCTCTTTCTCTTTGTAAATCTGACTTTCCAATAAAAAATAACTAAATCTTAAAAAAAAAATCTAAAAATTGATTGGGTGAACAAAACCAATATGCCACATAGTATTACTGTTGACAGGGGAGAGGGGAAGTCTTGTCTTTAATGAATGCCTCTGCACACCTAGTTCTGGAGCAGTCATTTTGCATAAGGTTGGGGCAGATATGGCTAATTCACCTCTTAAAGGAGACACTTGAGTGTTTGAAAAGCTACGCATCATTGCTTACAATCATACAGCAAGGAAAAGAAAGTTAATACTACTACGGCAGAATCAACTTCTGGGCCCATGCCCTTAAATGGACCAGCATTCTGGTGAACAAATGAAAAGGATATGAAGGGACCAACATTGAGACCTAGCAGGTAAAGCTACCCCATGTGATGCAAACATCCCATACGGCTGCAGGTTCAACTCCCAGCGGCCCCAGTTTTAATCCAACTCCCTGCCAATGTGCCTGAGAAAGCATTAGAAGATGAGCCAGTATTTTGGCCCCTGCCACCTGTGTGGAAGATCTGGACCAGCCCTGGTCTCCACAAAGACCTTGCCTACTGGTTTCAGCCTGACCCAATCCAGTCACTGCAGCCATTTGGGGAAATGAATCAACAGATGGTAGATCTCAATCTCTTCTTCTCTAAGCAAATCTTTCTTCAAAAAGAAAATGTAGAACATGCATGCAGTCCTTTTAGGCAAAGATTTCAGCATTCCTGAAGAAAACAGCATGAGAATCACAAAGCCTGCACAGTAGCCATACCACAGAGAACCCCGAGTTGCTCTCCTATAGGAAGCTTTAATGATGTGGCTCTCCTTTTGATTTATGTCTCACATCCTTGAGATGCCCAACATGTAAGATAGATAAGTCTTCCGGAAGAAGCACTGAAGATGAATCTAGTTTAGAATCATTTGCTAAATCTTATTGTTTATCATATGAACCCTTTACAAAATGAGTATTTAACTCTGCCATGTAAAAAAGGTTAAACAATATGATTTTAGAAGTATAGGAGTGGGAGGTAAGACTCTGTGCCACACATCAGACTATCTGGACTCAACATCTGACTCCTAACTCCAGCTTCCTGCCAACGCTGACACCGGGAGGCAACAATGATGGCCCAAGGAGCAGAGTCCTTGCCACTTCGGTAGGAGACCTAGATTGCATTCCTGGTTCCCAGTTTCAGCCCCAGCCCAGCCCAGCTGCCACTACAGGCTTTTGGAAAGTGAACCAGTAAAAGCGTGAGTGCTCACATACTCTCTCTCACACT